AAATGGAAAATAAGCATATAAAGAGATGTTCAACATTATATGTCATTAAGAAATTGTAAGTTAAAACAACAGTGAAATGCTATTACATATCCATTTAAATGGCTAAAATCCAAAGCATTCACAACAATAAATGTTGGTGAGCACATGGAACAAAAGAAACTCTCATCCCCTATTGGTGGGATTGCAATGCTGCATTGGAAGAGAATTTGGCAATATTTTACAAAACTAAACATAAGATTCAGCAATTGTATTTCTTAGTATCTGGCCAAATAAGTTGAAAACTTATGTCCATACAAAAACTGGCATATGAATGTTTATAGCAGCTTTATTCATAATTGCCATAACTTTGAAGTGATCAAAATATTCATCAGTAGATAAACTGTGGTGCATTAGTTTCTTAGGGATGCTGTAACAAACTATCACATAGTGGGTGGTTAAACAACAGAAATTAATTGTACACAATTCTGGAGGCTGGAAGTCTGAAATCAAGGTATTGGCAGGGTTGGTTTCTTCTGAGGGCCATGAATTTGTTCCTTTTCTCTTTTAACATCTGATGGAGGAGGAGTCTAGCAATCTTTGCCATTCTTAGGTTCATGACATTAGCTCATGGCATAGTGACTACAATCTTCACACGGCATTCTCTTTGTGCTTCTGTCTCTGCATTTAAATGCCTCCCCAAACCTTTTTTTGGTTTTGTTTTGTTTTGTTTTTGTGTAAGACAAGGGTCATATTGGACTAGGGTCCATCCCAATGACATCACCTCAACTTGATCATCTGCAAAAACCTTATTTCCAAATAAGGTAATATTCACAGGTGATTAGGACTTTGCCATTTTGGGTAGGGGGTGCAGAATTCAACCCTTTACATTAGTGGAATATTATTCATTAACAAAAATTAATATCAAGCCACTAAAACGATATGGAGGAAATGTAAACGTCTATTGCTGAATGAAAGGCGTCAGTCTGACAGAATACCTATTGTATAATTACACCTACACAACGTTCTTGAACAGGTAAAATTAAGGAAAGAATAAAAAGATTAGTGGTTGCCAGGGATTCAGAGGAAGACAAGGAAGGGCGAACAGATGGAGCACAGGGAATGTTAGTGCTGTGAAACTATCCTGTATGACACTGTAATGGTTAATAGACGTTGTTATACATGTGTCGAAGCCTGTAGACTCTGCAACACAAAGAATGAACCCTAAAGTAAGCCATAAACCTTAATTCATAATATTATATCAACATTGGGTTTTCAGTTGTAACAATGTACTACACAAATGCAAGATATTAGTAACAGAAAAACCTGTGTGCTGGGGCAGTAAGGGCATGTATGGGATCTCTCTGTACTTTATGTTCAATTTTTCCACAAACCTAAAACTACTTTAAAAAATAAAGTCAATTAAATATTTAACAACAAAAACAACGAAAAGTTCCAGATTCTAAGTAGCTCCATTAGCTTGAGTGATCAGAAGGAAGGGTCTCTCTGAAGAGACAACCTTTACATCTGACCTGAAGGACAAGAAGATGTTTCCTTTGTGACATGCAGATAACAGCATTTCTAGTACAAAGAAGAGCTGGAAAAGAGACTGCAGGGGAAACAAGCTGCATGGGCCTCAGGAACACCATGAGGAGCAGAGTGGGAGTGGAAGGCAGAAGAAAGAGGCAGACAGGGACGTGATAAAACAGGACTTTTAAAAGAGAGTATAGTTTGGATTTTATTCTGATATGAAATCATTAGATGGCTAAATAGGGAAGTACTAGGATATAATGTATTAAAACAATATCATTACGGACTTTGGATCTAAAGAATAAGATGTGTAGGGAGGCAACATTGGAGGCTGGAAGACTGGATAGGAGAATATTACAATGGTCCAAGCAGGAGATGATACTGGTGTGGACTAAGGTGAAGGCAGGGGATATATAGGTGTGGGGTGTATTTAAGATATGTTGATAAAAGTAATGGAAGAGAGGACTTCTCACTGTGTCGATCATCTATGTCACAGCTGTGAATCTGGAAATACATGGAAATAGCAAATTGGATATAGGCTGAAGTTGATGCCCTTTGCCATTCACATCCCCTTCCATGGAATGAAGACTCATCAGATAAAATATTGCTTTAAATAAATGGACCTTGAAAAATGGCACATGATATTTGCTTTTCATAATGTTTGTTGTAATAGAATTTGACTCATGTCTAAAACTCACTTAGCATAGACACATTTCAAATTCTCTTTCACTTTTCACTGAAAATGTTTAATTACTGGAGTTGTAAAGAAAGCATCTTTTAATAGAAAAGTTAATACAACTGAGCAACTTGATATCTACAGCAACTATATAAATAAATATACACATCTTTCTTTTATTTACATTTCGTGAGCCACATCTAAAACATATGCTAGCAAAGGTGGGGATTTGTTAAATATGTTGACACCACACTGATAGATATCAGTCACAATCTGGCAAGGAAAAGAAGGGAGTTGTTTTCATTTTCTGTTTGTTTTTGGAATTATTCTTAAAACTAGCTAAATGTGACAAATGTGCCATTTTTTTCTCCATATTTTAAAATGAGTGGCAAAAATTAGAAAGCAAAGGAGAATCATAACATTTAAAATATGGCAAATCAACAAATTCTGTATTATCCATTTCTAAAGGAAAAAGACTTCAAAATTTAAAGACTTTGTAGAAATTCAGCAAAATTACAGCAGTCTTTGAAACATTACTATAAAAGTGATGACTTTGTTTCCCTTGGGAAAAACTCACATAGACACAGGAGAATGGTCTAATGAACAAGAATGTCAGAACAGCTAATAAATACTTTGAATAAGATATAAAACAGAAGAGTGTATTTGAATTTTATATTTTGATTACTGTTAGCAATCCTTTCATTTTATAAAATATGGCTGATCTTAAAAATAATTAAGCAGTATTAGGAAGTATATTTGCTCAATGAAGAAGACCTAGTATCCTTGGGCTGTTATTTACAGAAATGACATCTTTCATCTTTCTAATCCATTCTAGGATGCTTATGCCTTGACCCTCAGTGCTGTTTGCTACCTACATTTATCGAGAGTAAAATAGTAGCTATCCACTGAGCCACACTATCTTCTTTAAAAATTCTACTTTATTCATTTTTTGGTCAAGATTTCAGCTATTCTTCAAGTTTCACTATTTGCAAATACATTTTTTTCTTTGTATAAAATATATCTAAGATCTATACACAAGTAATATGACTTGTTTTCATCTTCAGGAAACATCTTACATGTCTTAAGTTGAATAAACACTACATTGTTAAAGACGCCGTTGATGTGATGTTAAATATATCCATAGAAAGGAGAAGACAGATCTGTTGCATCTACTACCAGGGCTCTATAAATTTATTTTTATTTTAAAAGTTCTTACCAGCAGTTTATTCAAAAATAAACAATTCCTACAAGATTGGCAATGCACTATTTCAGTTTCAGTAATTTTTGTTCTGAAGGTTTGCAAGGAATTGGCATTTTATTTTATTTTATTGCATTTTAGGTTTTGGGGTACATGTGCAGAACATGCAAGATAGTTGCATAGGTACACACGTGGCAGTGAGATTTGCTGCCTTCCTCCCCTTTGCCCACATCTGGCATTTCTCCCCATGCTATCCCCCCAGCCCGCTGTCCCTCCCCTATTCCCCCCAATAGACCCTAGTGTGTAGTGCTCCCTTCCCTGTGTCCATGTGTTCTCATTGTTCATCACCGGCCTATGAGTGAGAATATGCGGTATTTCATTTTCTGTTCTTGTGTCAGTTTTACCTTACACACTCAGAAGCTTTGCAAACAATTTAAAAGATTAAAACCTTTAAAATCCTTTAAAATGAGAAGTACATCTATGTATTAATAAAATATTAAGGATATTAAGCCATTTTAATGATGTAAATAAAAAGTCAAGCTTTTATTTGGTAGTTACAAAAGCTCTAATTAGATTCTTTTTTTGCTCCTTTTTTTCTTAAGAGTTTTATGAATTGCCAGAATAGGAAAAATGAAATTAACAGTTTGTTTGTTTTACCTGTTTCTGCTTTTGTGAGAGGTTCTCAATGTCAACTGGGATGCGCATGGGGCATTGTGGGAGACAGGAGAGGAGAATACTGGGGAGAGTACTGGGAGCATTGGCGGTAATCTTTCAATTCCAGCGCTGAAGCAACAGCCTGAGAGGAGGTGAACCTTTACCTTCTCCCAGGCACAGACAGGGCTAGGTAGGCGGAGATGGATTGCAGAACCCATTAAGCAACCACCGGGTGGAGGAGAGCGCAGGCTATCTCCAAACCCTGGGAGGTGGGAGGGCTATCTTCTTATTTCAGAGCACATTTCTGCACAGGTCTTTTTATTCTCACTGCAGCTCACTCCCTGGTGGCTTAAATTATGGTAAACGAAATAACGTCCATTAAAAGCCACTTCTGAAGGGGTGATTGTTGGGGGTTTTGAAAACACAGAGGTCTTACACAGACCAAAAACATGTGCCTCGTTAAAGATACAGAAAGGTTTGTAAGTGAATATAACTCTCGGTACGTGCATGTACATGCACGTGTATGTATGCACATTTCGTTTCTATACCTTATATAAGTTTTCTGTCCAAAACTTTCCTCGTCGTGCGTTCCCTACCGTGGCGCATCTAATCTGTCTGCCCTATTTGTGGCTGCACAGCTCGTTCTTGCAGCCGGCTGGGGAGCTGTTGCTTCTGCCAACGCCGCCGTCAGCCAGAGCGCTGAAGAAATGCTGAAGGCCCGCGGGCAGTGCAAGAGTAAAGAAAACGCTCTCCTCCTGCCCATCTCCTCCACCACGGCCTCCGCAGTCCTCCCAGGTGACTCCCAAACACAGTGTAAAGTTGACTGAGAGATAGGGCGGACTAACAGGGGTGGGGCGCCGGGCGGCTGAGGCCGGGAGCAGGAGAGGCAGGTCCTGCAGCCCAGGGAGCCCCCCGTGGCCACCGCGGCAGCTGTCACCTCCTGGCCTGGCCGCCCAGCACACCGGAGCTCCTGGACAACCGGAGTCCACGGCTCCCAGCAGCGGCGCTAACTGCTCTCCCCAAGCACAGGTCATCGGGTCCCCAAATCCCTGTCCTCACCCCAGCCCGCCCGTCGCCTCCGCCCTCTCCCGGCTGCAGCGCGGGCAGCGCTCTGGCACTCCCAAGGACTCCCCGCCACTCTCCCCGCACAGGCGACGGCACCTGCGCGGCAGCCCGCAGCCCAGGACGCCCCCGGCCAGAGCATAGGGACCCGCGCCTGAGCATCCTTCAGGGCGGGTGCCTGGCGCGAAGGGAGGGGGCGGGAGGAAAGGGGCGGGGGAATTCCTGATTCCCTGGCAGACCCTGAAAGTTGTCCTTAAATAAATATATCGCTGGCCCGCAGTTGAGCAGCCACCTCGTCAGAGCAGCATGTGGACTGGCTCGCCGGGTCCCCTCTGTGCTCTGTGTTGTCGCCGCCGCCTCTGTCAGAGCAGCAGCTGTCGGCAGCAGGAGCCCCGCACGGGGCGCGGAGCAGGGACGCGCGGCCACTGCCTCCCGCCGCGTCCTGCTGGCCGCTTCTTCTCGGGAGGTGGCAGTCGCTGTTGCTGCTGAGAAACCAGCCCGCTCTCCACGGCTGGTCGCCTGGTGAGGAGTTCAGACTGCGCCTCCGCCCGGACCCACATGGCTTGTTACCTGGTCATCAGTTCGAGACATCTCAGCAATGGGCACTACCGGGGCATTAAAGGAGTCTTCAGAGGACCCCTCTGCAAGAACGGATCTCCCTCTCCGGTAATGTGCGCGCGCACACACACATACACAAACGTTCCAAATTAACACCAAAAGATATTGAGACATAGTTTCCTGATACAATGAGTAGGTGGTGGACATCTAAAACGTAAACCTTATCCATAGGTATGAAGGTACATCGTGTCCACTTATACAAGTCGTTGACAGACTGTGACACAGAGAGGGATGTGTATTTACATGTGTATTTTCAATCCAGTCAGTAGGATCTATAGTGCTGTGGATGTAAATATTTACTGAATGCAGCTAACTGCAGGGCTCTGAAGGTAGCTCCTCTGTACTATGTCAACTTATCAATCTGCTGATTTGGGCAGTGTAGAAAGTTGAGTGGCACGCTATAATGTACTTTTGTGAAGTCATCAGTTGATATTAGTTTAATAATGCTGCAAAAGGAAAGGTATAGGGCGTAAAAACTTGGTTATATCTAATGCTTACTATGCACATTCTTTAAGGGGAAGCAAAAGAATTCTTTGTGGAAATCTGAGTTGGATAGTTGACTGTATAATATACAAATATATTAACATGCAATTAGAATTACTGCTATTGAACTTAGTAAACTACTCAATTTAGTTGCTATTCAATTTATTCACATTCTTTTATGAAATAATTTTGTCCAAATCATATGACTTAAGTACATTATTAATTCATTTATTGATACATACTATAAGCTAATGTTTTAAGGCTCCAAATGTGTTTCAAGAAGATGTGTGTGAATGTATATATGTGTGTGTATGTGTGTGTGTGTGTGTAATTTATATGTATATTAGTTCTGGACTACTAGCAGCTATCCAAACGTAAAGACCAACTTTTGTAGTTTAATATAAAAAACAGTATGTAAGGCTGTATGATATCGAGAGGAAAAGCTTAATTTGTCCAATTTTAATATTTTTATGTTTGATACTTTTCATCATAGTTTAATGCTTCATTGGCATGAATTATTCAAAACTGCAACATATTATAAAAATCTTTGATTATTAATAAATGCTATATGTAATTTGGATGAGAAATCTAAAATCAGAAAGTACAAGTACCCGGAGATATCACTAGGATTCCTCATGGCAAACTATTCCTTCACATGCTTTTATGAACCCACTTTTATAAAAAGTGGGTTGTTGCAACTGCTCCCCCCAACTACTGTATACAGTATTGAGTCAGAGCTGTTACATGGAAAACACTTTTTATATACGTACTTAACGATTAAACTCACAGGATTAGCAGGCACTTGGAGAATTCTCGTTGAATAAAGCTCACATTCAGTCCCTCTAAGTAGCAGGTCTGAATCTTTCCCATTTTTAAAGATTCTCAGAATTGGTGTTTCTGCAGTCTCAGCAAACCACTTTAATGTTTAATAACAACTCATACAGCAAACTTAAATCCTTCGAATTCCTCTTTAAGCCCATTTCATCTAGAAAAACCTAGAACGTTACGCCTTTCTCCTTGGTATTATTTTCCAACACTTTGATAATCTCCATGCCTGTCTCTCTTACCCTCCTTTTGGTTATAGAAAACTAAGTTGGGTAGTGCATTGTAGTGTTTGTGCCTTAAGACTTCTCAGTATAAAGGGAGAATTGCTTCATAATCTTACACAGTCTAGTTCTTTCTATTCAAGTTGGTTAGACTGTGGTGTTCATCTTCCCAAATCTCTATGGCTTGCAGAGGAATTTCTGTTGCATGATTGAAAAGTGTCCTCTCTCTCCCACTTTGGTCACTCATCCCCCAAGAGCCTGACTGATCCTATAGAGACTGGATATGTGAATATAGATGAGAGAAGACAGCCCATTGACCACATGGTTGCGTGGGTTGACCAGGGTTCACCAGGTACTCTCCAACCACAGGGCACTATTTTAATTCACGTCTGGACTGGTTTTTACTACAGTACAAGTTTATTTACTTTGTTATCTAGGATTTACAATTTGACTGCTGGAAGGTTCCATCCAATATTTACACACTTGGATGTACTTAAATTACATATGCATCATTAAAAAATATCTAAATTAGATAGTGTAGGTACTTTCTCAAAACGATTTGACTTACTTCGCATTCTTTTACATTTTATTATGGAATTTGCATGGCTTTTTCAAAATTTGAGTAGTTTCTCATGTGAGCTGGGCAATGTGTGAGAATTTGTGTTTATTCATTCTCTGTCATTGGCAGGTTGTTGAGATGCGTCTTTCAACAAGTTGGGGTCCTCTTCCCATTACATAGCACTTAGTCTTTCTCCCTAAGTTGAAATGGATCACTACCTTCTGGACCTTAGACTCCCACGCATTTGAAAACTTTCCTAATCTGGGAATAATGTGTGTTTGCCTTCATTATTAATTAGTTGCAAGTATGAAACTGTAAACTATAGCTATAGATCATTTTTAAATTCAGTATTACACATTTCCCAGTTATTTTCAGGTTGATATAACTTGATTGATTTTTTTCTTTATTATAAATGTTAAACTCAGAGATCTATAAAATATATTCATGTATTTAAAAAAACATAACTACTCTGATATTATTATTTTTTTCAAATTTATTGCCAGGAATGACCTAAAACTGACCTCTACATCAATTAATTTAATTATTTCCACTCACCGAAACTCAGTTTATTTAGGATAGAGGGTACTCTTAGTTGACTTAACTTTCACTAAATTTTCTAATACTTCAATTTTGGTCCTCGCCCTTTTAATCCATGTGTCTTTCCTATTAATTTTGTTCCATGTTTTTTTCTGTTTCATTAGAGCTGTTTACATGTAGAACATGGTCTTAATATTTAATAAAAGAATTATTGGTTAAGACTGCTTTCTAACTCTGCTATAGAAAGGAGAAAGCTACAATCCCTTTTTGACATAATAAGAATTTCTTCTTTTGTGGTTCTGATATAAATATACCTGGATAATATGGATGAAACATTTCACCTTCCTATAGCCATAATTATTTAATTATATAGATAAAGTAGTTGTGTACATTTATGTTCAAATTACATGTCTGTAAAATCTGAACATATAATATTAAGCTAAAAGTTAAAAAGTGATTATATTTATTTCAAAGGATTTCATTTAGAAAACATGTTGAATCATTATATGGAACTGTTATAATAAACTCTTAATGAGTTATGTGAGAAAGAAAGCATTTTACGTCCAAACAATTTTTGCAGATCAGTAAACTGAAAATCCCAGAGTGAAATTCAGCTTCTGTCTTCAGAGTGAAAACATGGAAATGTCTTTTATCTATTGCATCTCTCTTCTTTTTAGAAACTGTGTGTGAAAAAATAGCCTACTGCTTTTTAAACCTAATTAAAATGTGAATAATTGATTGGAAATAGTTTATACTACTTTAAATCCAGGGATATATTAAGAAAAGTAAAAGAAAAGAAAATGAGAGAGTATTTTATGGCGCTTAATGGCAAAAGTCTATTTTTAGAAAATGTACATTTTCTAAATTCTACCACAATTTATGATACTTATCCCCACTCTATCTAAACTTTAAAATAATTTGACTGCATGATGACTTTAAAAATCAGTATGAGATACACATATACATATTATAGATAGATACACATTGCTATTTGTACTCAAGCAAAAGAAATTATTTATATTTTATATTATACAGTCTTCTATTATCAATTATATTAATGGTAAAACATTGTTTTAATAATTGGGAGCACTTAGGGGACCCAGCAAGCCAGCCCACATGTGCTGCTCTGAAAAAGTGGCTGTTTAATATCATAATAATCAATAATTAAACTATTAATTGAGACAATAGTCTACAGATGAATTCCGTGTTCATGAACTTCTATCACTACTTTTGAATTCAATAAAACAAATATCTTCTATGTAACAAGAAAAATATATTTGACTTGATTCTTAGTTATGTAATCTAAAATAACATCTCAAGTTTAGATTTGAATGTGGTGTGGTTAATAGTGAGACTATCATTCAGGATACCTATTGATTACAAGTTAATAATAATGGTAGGTATGTATTTTATCTGTGTTACACATTTAGCTTATTATTACTCTCTTGAAGTTTAGATAAGCTTATATTTCTTAAGAAGGGCTTATTACTTGGAGCACCATAGTTAGACATTAAGAAATATCTTTTTTTGGGAATTCCCATTGTCTTAATGTATTGGGCATGAAGGAAATTTTGAGAATTGTCATTAAAGGAAAAAATCAGGGTCACTGGATTTTTTAAATTTGGTCTCAAGTTATATATCTGATTAAATGGCCTAATAGAAGGAGGTGGGATAGAAATAAACAAGAATTTAAATTAGACCAAAATCTTCTACAAAATCCTGTTCATACATTACAAATGTATATCTATAAATGAAAGAAGTTCTAGAAGAGATGAACTACTTTGAAAGTGGATCCATCCAGATAAATTCTTAAATGAGGAAATGAGTTCAGTTAAACCCTTGTCCTTTTTTTCTAATTTGTATAATATCTGATTGTGTATATTTTCATTTATGCTTAATAAATACATGTTAAAGACATTCAAAAATGCTCTCAAAGTGATGCACTTTTCAAGTGCCAAATATAATTATGAAGACCTGCCCTCCTGTAGAGAAGTCACCCGCATCCTCTTCTTGAATTCATGAATACATAATACTGCCTTTCATGTTGAAACTTTCAGATGTTTGCAATAAAGATGACTTAGTTACAATTCTTACAATACATGTTTTCTTTTTCATGTCAAATATTATATAAATCAACCTCCTTTCTTCTTATTGCCTTTTCAACCATTTCCTTTCCTCTAACTGATTTCAAGAACTTTGTGATTAGCACCTATGCTAGTTGGTAGTCTCCAGAACCGAAACAATTGGTGTTTATTTGACTTAGGAAAGTTTCCATAGTCAGAAGACTAAAATAGGTACTTGAGTGCTATAATTTGTGGCTTTTATTAGGTTATACTACATTTATTTCATAATTAAAATTTGAGGGCTCAGATCCCTTGATTAGTTTCTTTTAGCTACATGACTAGGATGAACTCTCTACTTTA